GGGTAAGGGACATGTGACATGAGGGCACTAGAGAAAGACCCAGTCATAGCGGCAATCTCTGGCAGCCACCTGCCTGGTTGAGATGGAAACGCTGATTCCAGCTCCAGCCCCCAGACAGGCTAAGAATATCTCAGCCGAGCAACAGCCCCCACCCCCGCCCTTCTTGATCTGCTCCTACATCTGTAGTGCTATCCTGGGCGCCAGTGAGGATATGGAGTGGGGGTGATGCTTGGAGCATGGGGCGAAGGGGAGGAGGCCAAAAAGAGGCTTGGTGCAGGCAGGAGAAGGTGAACTGAAAAAGGCTGGGAGGATTAGACAGAGAAAGCTGTTCTCAGGGGCAGCCAAGGAAGGTGGAGGCAGGAGCTGGGCAGCTGAGGAAGAAGGTCAGAGATGAGGCCTGGAGAGGGCTGGTACGGATAACTAGAAGGGAGACATAGCTCCCCTGTTCATCAAGGAAGGAATCAACTCGTGGCAGAGAAAAGGAGCCTCCAGCTCACCTCTATTGCTTTCTGTTCCCTTCATTCTATGATCTCTACCATCTTAGCATTGCTTGATCCCTTCTTTCTGCCCTGAGGCATGGCATTCCTCCTTCGTTCCTGACCCTATTCCCTGTTCCAAAGAATCTGTGTTTGGGTTCCTTAATTAAGTCCTTCTAGCAAGGAGCTTGCTATTTGCAAGAAAAGAAGTGAGAATGTGGGTGGGGTCTCCTTGCCCACAGTTAGTGGCACCTCCTTTGTCAGTATCATCTCTTTGGTCACCCCCTCTCCCCACCCTCCTTTTACCTAGGGAGGGGTTCTACTCCCCTCCACCTACCTACCCAGCTCTCCTGTGGTAAGGTTCTCAGGAGAGGGAGGGAGACCTGGGCTGGTGCATACCTCCCCTTTGCACATCTCAGGAACTGAGGGTTAGGGTTAGGGGTGAGGAGCCACAGAGCTGGTGAGGGTTGGGAAGTAGGATCCATGCATTCAGATGCCCAGGTTGGGTCTCCATCCTGGCTGCTTTAAGATTCTGTGTTTCCATTTGACTCTGTAGAGGCCCCTGGAGACATCAGCATACCAAATGACCAAAACCTGGGGTCTCCAGCTTTGATGTCTATGGGAAGACCCTGGACCTCAGCCTTCCCTCCTGTGCCTACCCATCTTTTAGGGCTCCTCTAAAGCCTGGAGGGACCTGGGAAGATTTCCATTACTAAGAGCCACAGCTCCCTTCCCTCTCATCACCTGGGTTGAACTGCAGAAGTGCAGGCCTCACAAGGATGCTGTGCACACAAAGACTGAGCCTGTCAGAGACAGACCAGGGAGAGCCAGACAGGGTTGGAGCTAGAGAGCCAAACAGATTGGTAGGCTAGATTCAACTTAGAATCTGAATCATAGAATTGGGAGAGACTTTAGGAATCCTCTCTCAGTTCAATTCCTGAAATGTTATTTTATTCTTTTAATATTCATTTTTGTCTGATAATAAAACTAAAATGTATAGAGTCTTTGCATTTTAATATGAAGAAACAGAGGCTCAGAGAGCTGAAATGACTTTCTCAAGGTCATACAACTGGGTAGAAGTGGACTAGAACTCCTTCTCCCACCCCCTAGACTGTGGCCCTTTAGAGAGGAAGGAAGGCAGTGCCAGAGGAAGGAACAGCCGGGCTGCAATGCCTGGAGACATTCCCTTAAAAACAGGGCTCATTACCCAGGCAGGAATGTGAGGGGATCATCTAAGGTGAAGCTGGTGGTGATCTTCAATGATAAACCCTGTACTGCTATCACCTCAGTCCGGGCCTTTCAGCTCCTGGTCTGGGCCTGCAGTTGTTGCCTTGAGCCTCCGAAACAACCAGTAATCTGGACAGGGTGCTGTTCTAGATAACCTGAAGAGACAAGGGGCCAGACAGGGAGCCAGGCCTCAGAAGCTTTCCCATCTAAGGGAGTCTGACATAGCCAGCCCATCCCCGAGGAGCATGCAGGAAACAGACAAGAAGCAACATCCAGACACTAACACATAGGGGGAAATCACAGCATACAGACCTTAAATATAACTCAACCAAAAAAGCACACTGGCGGGAGGAGGATTGTGGCTCAGCAATAGAGCACTTGCCTACATGTGCACGAGTGCTACCCTGGGTTTGATCCTCAGCACCACACAAAAATAAGGTATTATGTCCAACTACAACTAAAAAAACAAAAACAAAAAAACACTAGCAGATTGGCAGATGTGGCAGGGAAGTCACTGCCCTTCTGTAAATTCCACCTGCTCCATGAAGTCTTCCTGGTTTCACTACCTTTATCTCCTTTGGTTTCCACCCTGTAGAAGTAAAAACTCCTTCCAGCTCATCCATTAGAGCCTGCAGCTTACATATAAGAGCAATACTATTGCTCTTTGTGGATCTGTTTTAATTAGTTTGTCTTTTAAAATTCTATTCCAGTGACCCAGGAGACTGAGGCAAAAGGATCACAAATTGGAGGCCAACCTCAACAACTTAGTGAGGCCCTAAGCAACTTTTTAAAATTATTTAATTAAATTAATTATTTAATTACCATACCCCCAGTCCTGTCTCAAAATAATAATTAAAAAAATGACTGGGGGTATAGTTCAATGGTAAGCACCCCAGGTTCAATACCCCATACCCACCCCCTCCAAAAAATTCTATCCATATTCATCTTGCACATCTTGAAATAGAAACCAGAGTCTAGCCCTTAATCAGGTTGTTAGGTAGCAGCTGCTGCTGAGTGTAAGAGGTTGTAGAGGCTGAAGTCAGAGCATTTGGTCCCCTCCAATAACTCTAGAAAGACTCCCTGGAGAAACGGGGATTTCAAGAACTTGACAGAAGGCAGGGTCGTAATCTGAGAGAGAGTTCTGGCCAGAGCAGGAGCTCAGAGATTCAGGAGAGAGGCATTGTGTGTGAGGCAGAAAGAGGGTCTGAGGCAGGGCAAGGCAAAGAGTGAGAAGGAGTGAGACCCCTGGAACTACATGGTCTCGGGATCCTGAAGCAGAGGAGGCAGTTCTTGATCCTGATCAAGAGAACAATAGGAGGTCACAACAGGGCCTGGAGTGGGGGTACCATGGTGGTGATGTCCGTGGTGCTGCAGGGAAGATCTTGTTCTAAACATTACCAGCAATAGGCCTTACGTCAATGAGGGACTCCTGGGAGCAGTGCTGGGAGGACCCACGTGCCATTCAGATTCACGTGCCCAGTGTTTCTGCCAGCGCAACTCAGTCTCTGTGGGGCCTGTCCTTAACTACCGGTGAGCCAACTGTTCCTTGGGTGTCAGATAAAGGCTGACTCAGAAGGCCTTGTAGGAGGAAGTGGGGCCAATTACAGGAGTTGAAAAGAAGGAACATTTCCCTACAACTGTGGAGAGAATAAGATTGAGCAGGCCAGCTTGGGCTGCAAGAGAATAAAAATCAGATCCAAGAGAGCAGGAGCAATCCTATTGAGAAGGTACACACTGGGTACTGAGTCAGGAAGGAGGTACAAGTCTGAGTGTGACCATGGTAGTCAAGATAGCCAGGCTGCAGGATTCCAGGAGGGTGTGAATGAGTAGGGGCCGGGAAATTGATGAGAAAAGCTGGGGCTTCTGGTGGTTGGACCTGCAGCCCACAAGGATTCTGGAAAAGCCTATCCAGAATGAAACACACACTTGAATGTGTGCACAAACTGATCTTCATAGCAATGGATCCTTGGAGCTGTGTGGGTTCATGAAGCACATGGAGACAACTCCAGGGACAGTTCTGAGGATTTTACCCCGTAGACAGTCTTCTCTCCCCATCAGGCTCATACCCACCTCCAAGGCCATTTAAGAAAATAGAAGACTCCTGTGTTGGGAAGCTACAGAGAGCAGACCAGGAGACAGGTGCTACAAGGCACATAAAGCTAGCTGGGCTCAGGACCTGCAGGTAAGGCCCAGAGAGTCCAAATTCCTGGACAAAGATCTGGTGGGCACTGAGGAGGGAACAGACAGACCCAGAGAGAAATGGGTAGGACCTAACCAAACAGCCTGCAGCTGGAAGTTGGGCAGCAGGGCCTGTGCAGCAGGATGAAAACCCACCTCAATTTGGACTGGACTGGAGGTTGACCAACCCTCTTAGGCCTCCTTCCACACAGGAAGCCATTGGGTCCAAGCCTGATCCCAATTTTCAGCGTTTCCCCAGGGATCAATCATCCATCACCCACCCAAATGTGAATCAGTGTGTGCTGGTGGGGACAACCAGGCAAGACGAGCTGCCCAGGGACCACAGCCGCAGGCTCAGCTGCAGGGGCATATTCTGAGGGTCTTGCTCCCCTGAAGCAAAGACCCCCAAGAAGGCAGACTCTGACCTGCAGGAAGTCTCATCATCGGCCAACACCCCCTCACAGGCAGAGCAATAATGTGCCTGCTGACAGTCCTTCGTAGTGGCGGCGGGGGGCGCTGAACCGACCCGACGGCAAGATTGGAGAAACCAGTGCAGTGCCAAGGAGCTAGGATCTGCGCCTCTGGATGAGGGCACTCACTGCCACGCTGTCCTCCTACACATAGATGGGGGCGGGGAAAGGAAAGACTGTTCCCATGGCTTCTCTGCTACCGCGAATCCAGTGCATCAAAACAAGCTGATCCACCGCCCTAGGATTTGGAGAAGGTGGTGGGAGCAACCATTCTCCCCACGCCCTACCTCTGACCCAGAGAGGGACCCTCGAACGAAGGCCACCTCCTGCCCCTTACCCACTTTTCCCCTTCATGTGAAAGGAAAGGACCCAGGACAGAGGGTGGGAGCTAAGGCGGGATTTGAGATTGATATCTGATATCCTATTGGTCAGAGGAGCTGCCGATCAGAAGGGCAGCTCGGTGAGGATTGGCTGCGTAAGGCGGGGCGTGGCGGGGCGAAAGAAGGGGCCTAAGGGGTGGGGCTGACACTGCAGCTGGCGCAGCTCAGACTCTGAGCAGCCGCCGCCGAACAGCAAAGCAGCTCCTTCCCCCGCCTGTCCGCGCGCGCGGGCCGGGGCTAGGCCCCCCACCGCCGGGTCCCCCGGGGCTGCAGCAGCAGCGGCGCCGCCCGCGGTTCCCGCCGGGGCCCGGGCGCCGGCCCCGCTCTGCAGGATGGGCACGGTGCTGTCGCTTTCCCCTGCCTCCTCGGCCAAGGGCCGGAGGCCCGGCGGGTTGCCGGAGGAGAAAAAGAAGGCGCCGCCCGCGGGGGACGAGGCGCTGGGGGGCTACGGGGCGCCGCCAGTGGGCAAGGGCGGCAAAGGCGAGAGTCGGCTCAAGCGTCCGTCCGTGCTCATCTCGGCGCTCACCTGGAAGCGCCTGGTGGCCGCATCTGCCAAGAAGAAGAAAGGCAGCAAGAAGGTGACGCCCAAGCCAGCGTCCACCGGTCCTGACCCTCTAGTCCAACAACGCAACCGCGAGAACCTTCTCCGCAAGGGCCGGGACCCCCCCGACGGCGGTGGCGCCACCAAGCCCCTGGCTGTGCCAGTGCCCACAGTGCCCGCGGCTGCTGCCACCTGCGAGCCACCGTCGGGGGGCAGCGCTGCAGCCCCGCCGCCAGGCTCGGGTGGAGGAAAGCCGCCGCCGCCACCACCCCCAGCCCCGCAGGCGGCGCCGCCGGTGCCTGGTGGCTCGCCGCGGAGGGTCATCGTGCAGGCGTCCACAGGCGAGCTGCTCCGCTGCCTGGGCGATTTCGTGTGCCGACGCTGCTATCGCCTCAAGGAGCTGAGCCCTGGCGAGCTGGTGGGCTGGTTCCGCGGCGTGGACCGCTCGCTGCTGCTGCAGGGCTGGCAAGACCAGGCCTTCATTACGCCCGCCAACCTGGTGTTCGTGTACCTGCTGTGCCGCGAGTCGCTGCGAGGGGACGAGCTGGCGTCGGCCGCCGAGCTGCAGGCCGCCTTCCTCACCTGCCTCTACCTCGCCTACTCCTACATGGGCAACGAGATTTCCTACCCACTCAAGCCCTTCCTCGTGGAGCCTGACAAGGAGCGCTTCTGGCAGCGTTGCCTGCGCCTCATCCAGCGGCTCAGCCCGCAGATGCTGCGGCTCAACGCCGACCCCCACTTCTTCACGCAAGTCTTTCAAGACCTCAAGAACGAGGGCGAGGCTGCCGCCGGCGCCGGGGGTCCACCGAGCGGGAGCGCGCCCGCAGCTTCTTCGGCCGCCAGGGACAGCTGCGCGGCCGGAGCCAAGCACTGGACTATGAACTTGGACCGCTAGGGATACCCAGGGGCCGTGCCCGCCCCCCGCCCAAGTCTCCGACACAAACTCGGACCCCCCTCTCCCCCGCCCCCGGGACTCTCAAGCCACCGCCGGTGTTACCGCCACTCTGGGCTGGGCGGAGGAGGAGCCGCTCCTGTCCGGCAGGGGAAGGTGGAGGCTAGGACACCAGAGGCCACGGTGTCTGGATTTGCTGGGCGTGGGCTGGGAATGGGGGATGAACACTGGAAGGGCACCCCAGCCTCATCCTTTCCATCTGTCAGTGTCCTTATCTCTTCATTTCTGCCGGGTTTCCCGCTTCCCTGCCGTGCGTGTCTGTAAGTCCATCTCCCCTGCCCCCCCCCCCCCCATTTCTTCACCTTCTTTCTGTGTCTTCATCTTTTCTCCTGTCTGCACTTTCATCTCTCCCTCTACCTTTGCATTCACCGTTCCTTGGGTGTGTGTTTCCATCTCCACCTTACCCCTGTGCCTGACTGTACCCCATTGCCCCCGTTTCTCCTCCTGCACCTGTGTCCCCATCTTCCCTTCTTAATCTCTTTCTCCTTGCTCCTGTCATGTATGACTATTTCCCCTCCTGTTTGCCTTCCCCCTCTGCTTGTATCATCTTGCAATTCTTCCCCTGACTGAGACCCCTTATCCCCCTCCCCAGATCAAAGGGACTGTTAGTTTTTAATTTGGACCAACTGAGGTGCGACAAGAAACTGCAGTCCCAGGCGACCAGACAACCACCAGAATGGCCCCTTGCCCCACCCCCACCGCCTCTCCCCACCTTTTCCAACGTGTTGCATGCCGGGAGTTGGCGGGGGATGGGGGCGTGGAGGGACTGCTGGCTTCTTTCAGGAGGCTGAGATTTGGGGCAAAATCAACCTGCGAGAACACCCCGGCGGCGATGCCTCAAGTGGGCGGGCGGCAAGAGAAAGAAAACTCTACTTATTTTGAGGGAGGGGCGTCCCTCTTCCTTATCCTTAGGTTTCTTGTTATCCCTCTCCCCTTTTAATTTATTTCACTGTTTCCGGAGGGAGGGGGGAGGGGGGTTGTTGGGCCGAGAACTGTCCGAGGTGCTGAGCTGGGGAGGGATCGGAATCTTCCCGGGAGAGTACCAGGAACTGGGTTGGGCCTGGGGCCGTGTCCAAGGTGCCAATGATGCGGGCCGACGGCGCGGGCCGCACTGTCTGTCTGTCCGTCTATCCCGGAGAGAACTATAAAGCGCTGGAAGCGCCTGCACATGGTTTTGCGCCGGCCTTTCTTTGGGCCCCTGGAGGGAGGGAACGCGAGCGGAAATGGAACTGTCACTGGTAGAGCAGGAGGACCAGATATAGGGGTCTACTGGGGAAGGTCAAGTTCCTGAGAGCTGCTACCTGCTGACCCCTCCCACATCAGCTTCAATTTTACAGAGTAAAGTGGGGTAGCCAAGGGTTGAGGCTGAATCCACAATTCCCATCCCAGCCTCCATCTTGTCTAACCTAGCTCCTCATAAATGCCCAGGCCACTTAGAGACAAGAGGTAAGGACAGTAGAAGTCGTTTCCCTTCTATGAGGTGACCCCTTGAGGAAGAATTAACTAGTCACTATTGCTGCTTTTCCTCTTTCCCTACCATATAGTGGATCTAGAGTCCAGTTAGGTCTGTGTTCACCGTTCCCGGGTGGGGCCTGATGGCTACATTCAGCTACCCCACCCCACCCACACCCCCACATGTGTCCAACCCTCACCACTACTGGGCAGCTTGGAGGCTGCTTTTGTTACAAGCCCACCCAGGGTAGTCTTGGGAGGCCCATCCCTGCTTCCAACTCAGACCCTGAGTCAGGGAGGCACAGAGATGAAAAGGGGAGACGAAAGCTATTTTTCAGCATTGAAACAAAAGGGGAAATGAGCTTTTGGCTTGAGATCCCTGCTCAGCCCCCATTGCCTTCTTAGCTGCATGGCAAATGGCTAAGTGCTCTGGTTATTGTTCCAATGCCCAAGGAGGCCTGGCTTCAACAGAGCTCTTGAGGCTCTAACCCCGATCACCACCGTGGCCTAGAGGACCCAAAGAGAGAACCAGGAGGGGTTGGCCAAGACCAGGCCTCAGGTTCGCTGTCCGTGGTGCTGACAGGCACGTTTGGGCAGGGTGGGGACTTGTATGGGCAGGAAGAGTTGGGGACTCGGTCGCTGCTAGATCTTCTGGATAATTTAGAAATAGGGTGTAAGGTATTTTGATGGCGAGTTACAGAAGTCTGGCCCGAGACCCCAGCAATGTCGCTTCCCACTTGCCCTCCTGAGAGATCAGGACTCGGCTTTCACCCGGCTTCGGCCCAGAGCTTTAGCACCCGGCCTGGAGCCGGAAATCCTCAGTCCAGATTTGTGAATCGAGCTCCCGGGGGGGAGGGGGAGGGGGGAGAGCTGGCGGAAGAGAAGGCGGGAGCAGCCGCCCATTGGTTGGAATTTGGCGCAGTCAGCGCGGTGCTGTCATCTCTCCCGGTTTCGGAGGAGGGAGGGAGGATCACTTGGGTCACTCCGCGGCTGTCGCCATAGTAACCAGACTGAGAGAGCGGGGCCGCCTCTCTACTCTCCCACTTCTGGCAAGGGAGAAACAATCCTGGTTCTTTAATTTGGAACTAGTTAGCGAGACTTGATTGAAATTTCTGAGTTAGAGGAGCCTAAAGGGATTGATATGGAGACGGGAGAGCCCAGGCAGACCCGCATACATCCTGCCCTCCGGAGGCCTCTAAATACTGCCCCCAACCCACACATAACACCTACACCTACACACACACACACACACACACCTCCAGGAATCTGTGGTCTGGTACTGTGGACCCAGAATGAGAAAAAGGCCTTAAGGAACGGTGTTAACTTAAATCTCACCTTCCTTACCATGCCCCAAAGCATGAGCCACTACTTTAATCCGATTAGCTGGGAGGGACTGTAGGAGGATCAACACGAAAATACGTAAGAATTATTCTCCTGGGTCAAACTTGGTCAGAGTTCTGTTTTCTCCAAGATGGTCTTTTGGGGAGGCAAAGGGAGAAAAGAGTACGTGTAGAAACAGGATAAGATGACTTTACTGCCCAGGAGTGAACCTGGGGGAGGTGAGTCCAGGCTGGTGATGAGGTGGTGAAGAAGGCCCAGAGTCTAGAGAGCTGGAGGAAGAATGGAGATGGAGGATGGGAGACAGAAACCCAGCTGGAGCCGTGACTCAGCACTTCCCCTCGCAAAGAGCCGGGACCACTCTTCCAGCATAGGGGCAGCCAAAGCCGGGAGGGGAGGAGAACAGGAAAATAAAAGGGTGATAACTGGTGAGCCACCCCTTTGCGTGATCCCTGCCGATACATGCATTGACACATAACCAAAAGGGTACATTTTAACCAGAGCAAACACACATGCATTTATACTGATTAAGGGTCATTCAATCATAATGTACTCTCATCTTCATTCCCCCCTTCCCTGTCCCCCTTCCTGGAGCAGAGGACATTTTGTCCAGAGATCCATGCTCGCCTGTCCCTAGAATACCTTGGTACTTATTGGAAAATGAGAAATGCAAAAACTTGCGGGTGTGGTGTATATGTGTGTGTGTGTGTGGTGTGTGTGTGTGTGGGGGGGGGGTGTTGTCATGGTAACTGTTTTGTCTGCCAGGCACTGGTGCACAGCAATTAGAGCATCTGGCAGGATCCAAGAGGACATCCTATGGGTTCTGCCCACTGGGACTCTGCTTCAGACACCTAGATGGGCACCTGGGGAAATTTCTATAACAGAGCCTGTCAAAGAGCTCCTCCAGGCAGTTCACCATGATTAACTAGAAGCCAGGTACAGGCACCTGACCACCTTATTCTCCCTTTAAGTGGTATTCCTGATCCCCCTTGTAAATCACAGATAACATTTACAAAGACTCAAGACAGCAGGTATTAACCCTTCAAGACCTTTTTTTTTTTTTTAAGACAGTGAACTTCTCTCTCAGCATCTTGACACATGTCCTACAAAGAAAGTTATTTTTATCTACACAGGAGTGTAGATGACAGAAATTTTGTTTAGTTAGTGTGATAAAAGATTGGGTACACACTGGGCGCAGTGGTGCATGCCTGTAATCCCAGCCACAGGGGAGGCTGAGGCAGGAGGATCACAAATTCAAGTCCAGTCTGGGCAACTTAGACCCCATGTTGAAACAAAAGATAAAAAGGGCTGGGGATGTAACTCAATGGTAGAGTACACTTGGGTTCAATCCTCACTACTGAAAAAGAAGGAGAAGGAAAAAAGAAAGGAAGGAAAGAAGGGAGAGAGGGGGAGATTGTGAATAAAATAAACTGCAGGGTACAATCCCAGAATTCAGTTTCCTTTGACTTTAAAACCTCATGAAGTTTTTAGATGCAGATATCTCAATGTACTTGCAGCTAGGCTGACTTCTCTCCAGCTCCTCCTTCTATTTCTCTCAATATTCAAGTTTAACCTCTTAGTTTCTTGTTTAAAACCCCCCATTCCAGTTTGGAATTTCATGCCACCCCCATTCTTCCCACTGTCTCTTTAGCTGCTCTCAAGGTCTCTTTCTGCTTAGAAACACTGCCCATAATAATTTCCCCCCTCTTTTTTTTTAAGAGAGAGAGAGAGAGAGAGAGAGAGAATTTTTTTAATATTTATTTTTTAGTTTTCGGTGGACACAACATCTTTGTTTGTATGTGGTGCTGAGGATCGAACCCGGGCCGCACGCATGCCAGGCGAGCGCGCTACCGCTTGAGCCACATCCCCAGCCCTCCCCCCTCTTTTTTTATATTTATTTTTTAGTTATAGGTGAACACAATGTCTTTATTTTACTTTATGTGGTACAGAGAATTGAACCCAGTGCCTCATGCATGCCAGGTGAGCACTTTACCTCTGAGCTACAACCCCAGCCCCATAATTTCTCTTTTCTTTGAGACTTTCCCAAATTTTTTTATACCACTTACTTATAGTTTCCGTGGTTTTTTTTTTTTTTTTGAGTTTTTTTTTTCAGTTGTTGATAGACCTCTTTCCTTCCTTCCTTCCTTCCTTCCTTCTTTC